CATAAACAACTTATAGCTATTATAGTAACAAAGGGCAGAGGTCACGAGACACAGCCTCAGCTAGGGAAGCTCAGCCTTCTGCCTGAAGGTGGATAGCTCCTTTCTGGGTGTGACTGGACTGCAGCTCCTTTTATTCCATCATAGATTTATTCACTTAGATTTGCAAACAGATAAAAAAAATACTTTTAAATATGTTTTTCTTTCAACCATTTTCAGCACAAAGGGTTGCTGTTTTTACAACATTCACATTATTAGAAGAAGCACGGAGTTGTGATACGTAGAAGAGAAGTATATGATCAACAAGCGAGAGGTGAAAGTCTCTGTTTATTCCCCAGGTGTAAGGGGACGTTGCACACATCAGCTCTGAGGAAACTGTAGCCGTGCCAAATCAGGGAAACGGGTTTTGTTAATCAAACCTGACAGATTTAAATAATTTGGTCAATATTGTCCTTTTCTGTTGTGTTCTGTTGCACAAGAATACAGCGGGACGTGAATGTTTGGACAGCCTTGTTAAGCTTCATGATTCTCCTTTATAAATTGTTTTGTTTTAATAGAAATTTTTCTTTTAAATATCGTATAGGAGACACCCACAGTGATATTTAAGAAGTGAAACAAAGTTTATAGGATTCACATAAAGTGTGCAATAATTGTTCAAACCAAATTATTGTCACGTTGCGGGTGTGGAGAGGATGGACCAAGTGTGGTGGAGCAGATCAGGAGGTACAGATGCAGGCTTCGGGTAAAGTAAAATGGTTTTAATGATGGAACGGGAACGAACAGCACAGGACAACGATGACAACAAAAACTGCAATGATCTGACAAAGACTGGTTCAAGGAGGGAGGTATAAATACACAGGGGAAAATGAGGAACAGGTGGGCAGGTAAACGAGGGGCAGGTGAAAACAATAAGGGCTAATCAAGGGCAGGAGAGAGACACAGTCAGGGAGGCAGGGGCAGACCGTGACAATTATGCAGGTGAATAAATTTGGGCATCACAAAAAATAAATTAACTCAATTTTTTGTAGATCCTCCTTTTGCAGAAGTAGCTTCTAAAAGCTTCTATAGCTTCTATTGAGAGTCTGGGTTCTGGTTGAAGGCATTTTGGACCATTCTTCTTCACAAAACATCTCTAGTTCATTCAGGTTTGATGCTTCTGAGCATGCAGGTCTTTCTATCTCACCACAGATGTTCATAGTATTCAGGTCAGGGGACTGAGATGGCCATTCCAGAATGTTCTTCATGTTCCTCTGCATGAATGCCTAAGTAGATGATGAGCAGGGTTTAGGGTTGTTGTCTTGTCGAAAGGTCCAGCCCCGGTGCAGCTGCAGCTTTGTCACTGATTCCTGGACATTGGTCTCCAGAATCTGCTGATACTGAGTGGAATCCATGCATCCCTCAACTTTAACACGATTCCCAGTCCCTGCACTGGTCACACAGCCCACAGCATGATGGGACCACCACCATGTTTTACTGTAGGTAGCAGGTGTTTTTCTTGGAATGCTGTGTTCTTTTTCCTTCATGCATGACGCCCCTTGTTATGCCCCAATAACTTTTAGTCTCATCAGTCCACAGCACCTCATTCCAGAAGGAAGCTGGCTTGTCCAAATGTGCTTTAGCAAACCTCAAGCAGCTGTTTGTGCTGCTGGCGGAGAAAAGGCTTCCTCTGCATCACTCTCACGTACAGCATCTCCTTGTGGAAAGTGCACCAGATAGTTGAACGATGCACAGGGACTCCATCTGCAGCAAGATGATGTTGTAGGTCTTTGGTGCTGGTCTGTGGGTTGACTCTCAGTGTTCTCACCACTCTTTGCTTCTGTTTATCTGAGATTTTTCTTGATCTGTCACTTTGAGCCGTAACTTGAACTGTGCCGGTGTAACAACAATGCCCAAATGTATGCACCTGCCTAATTTTGTTTGAACAATCATCCCACACCTTCTGTAATAAACTTAATTTCACTTCTCAAATATCACTCTGTGTGTCTCCTATATGATAAATTTAACTGAATTTTTTTAAACCAACAATTTATACAAGAACATCCTGAATATCAACAAGGATGCCTAAACACTTGTGTCCCACTGTAATTCTTATGTAAATGCTGTTGATAAGTGATGGTTCTCGTTTTATTAGTAAACAGCAACTATTTTGGATATTTTTAGATAATCATTAATCACACCCTCATTCAGAGAAGAAATAGCAACAAAAATTGCTGTGATGTTGTGTTATTTGGTTAGATTAAGTTATTCCTAAGTGTTTCATGCTACATTATGATTTTGAATGCAGCGGATATGAAACAAGCTTTGGTTAATCTGTGTAACCTGATCTAACGTGACTAAAGTAACTCATGCAGAAAAAGTCAAGTTTGAATAAATATAAATGCAAAACAAGTGACCACCAATAATCTGCCAGAATTTAATCTTTCAAGCATAATCATGTTATAAATAATCTCACAAATGATCCTAATGATTGTTACAAACATGAACAAAAAGTGAAAAAACATACATATCTGTGGGAATTGCTCAAATTCTGAAACAATACCTTACAAACCCTGAAAGCTAAGAAGGAGCCGTGTGTGTCATGCCTGCTGTGATGCAACAAAAACATCACAAAGATGAGTAAAAAGATGTGAGTGACGTCAAATCACAGGAATGACGGCTCCGAAGTTCCTCGCAAGGCTACTGATTCACCATCTGTCCGCTCAAACAGAAACATGGGTGAAATTAGCTGCTGTATCCATGGTTACCACAGTCAAACTATGACATCAGCATCTATATCTATCTATCATCTATCTATCTATCTATCTATCTATCTATCTATCTATCTATCTATCTATCTATCTATCTATCTATCTATAAATCTATCTATCTATCTATCTATAAATCTATCTATCTGTCTATCTATCTATCTATCTATCTATCTATCTATCTATCTATAAATCTATCTATCTATCTATCTATCTATCTATCTATCTATCTATCTATCTATCTATCTATCTATCTATCTATCTATCTATCTATCTATCTATCTATCTATCTATCTATCTATCTATCTATCTATCTATCTATCATCTATCTATCTGTCTGTCTGTCTGTCTGTCTGTCTGTCTGTCTGTCTGTCTGTCTGTCTGTCTGTCTGTCTGTCTGTCTGTCTCCTGAGGTTGTTTCTGTATGTGGGCTGCATGTGGCTCATAAGTTCTACAGCTTGGCTGAAAACCGGACCACAGCAGCCAGTCTGATCCACCTGCGAGGCTGCCAGAATGTAGGTCACCTGTGAGGTTATGCAACGTGAATGGTGGACTAATGGTTTGAACTCACTGTTCTCTGACTGTAGATGTAGATGATGGAGCCATCTAGAACGAGACAAAAAGCAGGTCTTTAATGTCTCTTTTTCTTCCACGGGGATCTGTTTACAGTTCTGATAGCAGCATTGTAAGCTGTGTGTATGCGTTCTACTGTTATTTTGGCTCTGTGACTTGTTCCTGCTGTAATAGTATGGGCTGAAAAGGATCAACCTCCTCCTGACGCATTAGGACACATGTGAGTCACACCATGGACACCAAAGGACTAGGAAACTCCAACTGTATTACACAGATGCATTTGTGTCCAGGAAGTGTAACTGTCCTATAAATAGCCACTACGCCTCACTGAGCTCTTTGATCATGTGCTATGAGTAAGTAGCACCAAAAGCTTCATGTTCCACTTCTGGAACATAGAAAAGACACACGGTCATGTTTAATGCTTGTGCTAATCCCTCCTCATCTGATCCTGATGATGGGCATGGAGGGGGAAACACACACACACGCACACGCGCACACGCACGCACGCACGCACACACACACACACACACTGGAGTTCCAAACCAAAGTGGGTCACATCACACACTGTCCATCCTCTGACTGGTGTATTTGGACTAACAAATACTGCAGCATTAAGGGCCACTTTGGTCAAACTGATGCATATCAACACATGGGATGAAAGCTCAGCCTCGGGGGAATTTTAGTCTTTCTGTTCATCTGTCTGATTATGAATCTGTTGTTTTTGCCTGTCGCCATCACAGCTCAGATTCATGTTCCTCCCAGCCAGCTCAGTTAGCCAAAGATTTCCTGTAAAAGCAGATATGTTGTAATATTACTCCTTTGTTGTTCTTTGCTCAATAATCACTTCATAAAGTTTGTGTCTTATAAAGAAACAACATCATGACAACATATGTTTATAAATTGCAAATAGAAATCAATGCATCGTGTTAATTTTAGTAGAACACCAAGAGTCCTAACCCTGTTTTTATCTGCTGCTCCTCTTTGGTGAAAGGAGTTTCCTGAAGTTTCTGCAGCACCAATAGTACAGGAGTCATATTTCAGTACAACATGAATACCAGCAGCGTTTCTCACCCAAAACAACAGAACTAACGGAGTTTATACAGACCCTACAGCACGTAGATTATTATTTAACAGTTATGTAAATTATTTGTGTTCTCTGTCACTGATTTTCTCTGAATCTCACACCTAATCCACATCCACCCGGAGAGAAATGAGCGCGTGGCTGTTTAGCTGAGCTCCAGCTGGAGGTTTAAAGGTTCTTTATTTACCAGCTCACGTTTACTGCAGCTAACAGCACAGTGCGAACACAACAGACAGGAATCTGTGGGCTGCGGTGAGAGTCTCTGCGTGTCACCGCCTGCGTCAAGGCAGACAGAGGACACACGGAGACGGGCTCCCGTCAAGAGGACTCGCTTCAAGGCACTTCCGGCTTTGTTTGCTAACTCGTTTCAAGTGTCACAGCACGTGATTCAGCTCAGACCAAAAGTTTAGTTATGTTCCAACCTCTGTTTTAATAGTTTCAAACATCGGCGCGCTGAGCAAGAGTAAGCTAAAAGTTAGATATGTGAGTTTTCCTCTTTCTGCAGCCAAACGAGCTAGCCGAAAAGTTGTGCGCATGTGCGAAGCGTCATCACGTTCGCAGCCGGGGAACTATCTTGATTCACTGTAGCGTGCGTGTCTTTGGGAGCTCGCAGCCAGCGCACTGCTCTCACGTTCTCACTGGTGCTAGTGAGAAGCAGCTCCACAGAAACACAACTTCATGCTCAGCTGGCGGAACAGCGAGCGAGAGCCGCGACTTCGCGTGACTTCTGTCCACCTGGCTAAAATGCTCTTCTCCACTTTGTGGTGAGTAGCTAACACAGCTGTAGTCACCGCTTCTGCTGCTGCATCCATTTATTCTACTGTTACCCTTTTGTGAGCATACATTACAATGTCATGTTTAATCTGTTACTGGGGGTTTTACTGTAAACATGCTCAGGGAAACTTGACGGAAGTATTTTAAAAAGACCTAAAACTAACTTGTGAGTCAACCTGACTGAGGAGCAGCGTTTGGAAAAGCTTTAACTGGAGACTGTTCAGGGAACACTGTTGTCATTGTAGTTGACATGATCACTGTGTGTGTGTGTGTGTGTGTGTGTGTGTGTGTGTGTGTGTGTGTGTGTGTGTGTGTGTGTGTGTGTGTGTGTGTGTGTGTGTGTGTGTGTGCGCGTGTGCGTGCGTGTGCGTGTGTCGCAGAGAGAGGTCGACAGGTCAGCTGCCTAATGGGTGTTATTATGCCAAACAGGAAGCGACTCCTTTAGAGAAAACTGTGTGACATTCCTGCAGGGATTAAACGTGTGTGTGTGTGTGTGTGTGTGTGTGTGTGTGTGTGTGTGTGTGTGTGTGTGTGTGTGTGTGTGTGTGTGTGTGTGTGTGTGTGTGTGTGTGTGTGTGTGTGTGTGTGTGTGTGAATTTAGAAAGTGACAAGGTGGTTAGTTCCACCCAGACAGGGATACAGATCAGGCTGGTCCTTATTAATCTGTGTGCAGTCCCACTCCTGGTGCACACCGCGCTGCCGCCGCCGCTGCTGCAGCTTTGAATCTTTAAATTATTGATGTTGTCTGAGTTAATACCTAGATGTACAGTGGAGTCGCTCTACTCTGTCAGATGGGTAATAAAAGTGATGTAACTGGGACCACGAGCAGCTATAATAATACGGTGATGGAGTATTAAACAAAACAGGATTTATTTTTGGAGACGTTAGATTCCTCAGCAGAAATAAAAGACATCTGTCTTTGATGCAACGTGATTCCCCCAAGAAGCTGACGGAGCTGTCTCTAGTTTCAGATGTTTTTTTTTAACAATAAATTCAGGAAGTCGTTTCCTTTGTGCCCACACACAAACCCGCTATTTTAATTTGACCCTTTCTGCAGACAGAAACTAGCCTGGCAAGCCAGACTAAATAAATGTATTGTTTAAACTTTGCAAAGCAAGAATTTGGTCTAGTTCACTAGGCTAGACAGAAACCTCTTCTCTTAATGAATGTTAGAGAGGGATGATAGCAAATAAAGCGCTCAGATGTTTGCATTTCAAGGAAGTGACACTATTTTAGCTGGCATGGTCTGAGCTGATGTTATTAGAAGGTGGAAAAGGGTGAGATACGTTGCGGTATTTCCTATTTTCTAGATTAGAATAACTCTTTTATTTTTATAGTCTAATTACATTCTTCGCATTCCCTGGTGGAACGCGTGTTACCTGCTGCTTTTTACTCCAGAATCTTCAACCGAAATCACCTTATGTTGAAAAATCAAGAGTAAATAATTACAAAAGCATTCTGCACCACCTCACATTATCTGTAGCACTCAGATAACGTGTTGCATCAGTGACCACCAAACTTCTTCTTATTTGACTCAGAATCAGTTAATTTAGCATCTGTTAACTAACTTCGCTAACTTAATGACCTCGTTCTGACCCGTCTCTTTCACCTAGCTGTCGCAAAACCCTGCTAACGCTTTGTTTCCCCGAAAGCACCCTTGTTTAGATTCATTTTCCATCTTTGTGTCTAAAAATAGCAGCCACTTGATGCACTGCACGCCCAGCCCTGAGCACACTGGACGTTCCGTTTCCATGTATTCTCTTCAAAAAACTCAAGGAATCGCAGGAATGTTAATTACTGCTGGGAAAAGAAGAGGAGCTGTTACGTTTCTTTATTTGTCGTTAGCTTGTCTCCCAGCTGCCCGTGAGTGTGAGTGGGATTTCATGTTACATGAGCATACTTATGAGACTTTAGTTTCTAGGGAAATCACCCACAAAATGTGGTGATCCTAAACAAACGTGCGGCCTGAAACCGGCTCGACCGGCTTTTACTACGGAGGGTGTCTCGGTCCTGAAGCTGTCAGGTCTAAACTCGGTTAAACGGGAACGCGTCATTGACCCTGAGCTGCTGTTATGTTGGTAATCTTCAAAACGAGTCCTCGTTATGATTTAATCCCAGAAGATCCATGTCTCTGTGTCTTTGGTTTTCACGCAGAGTCGTCACAGCCGAACAATGAGGGGCATCCTTAAGAGAAAGTTCATGGAGGTAGAGAAATACCCCAGCTTCTCCTCCTCCTCCTCCTCTCCTTCCTCCCTCTCGTCCCTTGCCTCCTCAGAGTGGGAGTCGGACGGGGAGGGGAGCCCACCCGAGGACCAAGATTTCACCCCTCACTGTCCCGCTTCTCCCTCCAGTTTGCCCAGTAAGTCTCTAACTGATGTTTATTGATTTTTTTTCCTCTCTTCTTTCAAATAATGCAAACCACTTCCTTATCGGCCGGCTCTCCCGTTGGTGTTTTATAGGAGCGTCTCTTATCAGCCTGCAGCAGAGGTTATGACTGACTGATATGAAAGTGCTAGCTTTAAGCCTAGCCTAGATAACACTCGCCCCTGCGCTGGTGCACGGGAGCGGAAGTTGTTGGGATTCATTTGACTAGCAGGGTTGTTTTAAACTAGTCGTATCGATTTGCTCCGTGTGGAAGTGAACAGATGCACAGAGCATCAGCTGCAGGCCGGTCTGTTGTTTTAAACACGCTGTTGGACCCCCAGATGATAAGCCAAGCAAAAACAGCAGAGGAAACATCCTGTCCAGGACAGAGGGCATGGACAATCACACTGCTCAGATATAAATACGTTGTAAATTGAACAATTAGATCCAAACAAACAAAACCTGACTCCTTTGCATTACAAGCACTCAGAGCGTGGCCTAAACTGCTCCAGCAGCAGGAAATAAACACAGAGAACAAGTGAAACCGACACCTAAGGGGAGACAGAGTGTTCCGTATGCCAAAGACTCTGATCCAGAACGTCCAGACTGAAGCACAGCCCGATCCCGGGAAGGCAGCTAGCCCAACACCATGAGGGGAGGAAGCTAGCCGGAGGAAATCAGCAGAGAGGGAGAGTGAAAAGAGCCGGACGCAGCACGGACACTCGTGTGCAAACAAGCAGAGCTTTAGAGGGATGTTTTCAGGAAGGTTACAGTAATCTCTCTCTCAGGACAAACGCGGGGCTACGCTACGCTCCGGGCTCAGAGTGGAGGTGTCGATGCAGACAGATGACACAAGCTTAGCCAGCTGCTCGCTCTGCTCTCACCAGCGTTTACAGGCAAGAGTTCAGACGTGTGTAAAAGTCAGACGAGTGGTTGGAAGCAGTAACTGATGATCCGTCTGCTGACGTTCTGACTAACGAGTAAAAGTCTAACACGGCTGCTACCCAGCTGTTTTTATCGGTTGTTGCTTCTGACATGTATGTTCAACTATTGACCCCAGTCAGTGGTGTGCATCACCTGTGGTGTGCCCCCTAGTGGACTCTCAGAGAACTGCTCCATCAGAGTTTAGGAATTTTTCTAGGAAGTGTTCCTACCTGGAGTCCCGTTCCAAGACATTTCACAGAAAACAGGAGAACACCGCTGATAGTACCAAACTGTTTTTGTTACGTAGGATATGGAGGCAGAACTTTACTGCTGAGTCACTAACTTTACTTCTTTCTGTAACTCATTCACACCGCAAGAAATGAAGCAATAGAAAATATTTCTCTTTGCATTTTTTATTTTTATTTTTTATACTTTTATGTTTGGAGCAGTTTTCTTTTTTCAGGAAAGAAACAAAGAGTCATTTAGGTTTTCAGTACCAGTGCGTTGTATGGTTCTGTTTCCAAGAACCGCTGTTCCCAGTAAAACCCATTTTGATGCTCACTGACTCCCTATTTGGACATCCAGGCTCCCATAGCAGCTCCTCTGTTTTTATCACAGCCGTGTGTTGTATGTGGGACGGGTGGAGGTTAGCTGGTGTGTACGTGTATGTAAGCGAATGAATGCATGATAAAAATATTCGTTTGATAATTGTATTTTTGCATATTTAATCACCACCAAATGCTGCTTGTCTGCCGCCTGTTAAACAAGGCCAGAGGCACTAGGGTTACCCAGATCTGGACCACTCTGATAAACATAACCTAAATTGTGACGTCACCATGGCAACCCTTTCTCCAAAGCTTGTTTCTCTGCTGAATCAGGTGAGTCCATCCTGAAGAGGCCCAAGCTAACACGAGGACTGAGCAGGGTGCACTTCGGCCAGGTGACAGTGTTCAGTTTCTCCCGCTGCCAGGGCTTCACCAGCGTCCCCAGCCGGGGAGGTGCAACTCTAGGCATGGTGCAGACACACAGCGCCCTCCGAAGGTACACGGTAGCAGAGCATGCGCTGGAGCAGCGGCACAGGCGCAGAGAGAGGCACCGAGAAAAACTGAGGCAGAAGCGGTTCGAGGCATTAAAATGTCAAGTAAGCACTCTTGATTTCTTCTATCTTACAGTGTTTTTATCCACGGGAGCCAAATGAATTTATGTTTTATTCTGATTCCAGCTGGTTGTGAGCGGAGCTGTCAGCCAACATGAAGCAGAAAGGCTCACCATGGATCAAGTTCTAGAGGAAGACATGGATGTAAATGGTAGCGACGCAGAGCTGGAGGGTGGTGGCTTCCTTCATCCAATCACTTCCAGACAACGACAAGCCCTGCTGCTGGCTGCAGGCGTGAAGATGATTGACAAGGAGGAGAAGAGGCAGCTTCACATGCTGCGACTCTCCAGGGAGGCCTGTGGATGTGACTGTCAGGGTTTCTGTGAGCCGGAGACCTGTGCATGCAGCCTGGCGGGCATCAAGTGTCAGGTAAAACATCCAGCCATCATATGCCTGGGTTCATTTAGCTGTCTGTTATCTGTCAGTGTTGGAGAATATCACTTTTTTTGCCCCGCTTGACTTATTGTGTGTGGATTTACACCCCGGTATTAAAAAACTCACTGTTCTTTCATCGTTTTGTTTTGCATCAGGTCGATCGCTTCAGTTTCCCCTGTGGGTGTACTAAAGAAAACTGTGGAAACACGCAGGGGCGCACTGAGTTTGATGCCAGGCGTGTGCACACCCACTACATCCACACAGTCATGAGGCTTGAACTGGAGAGTCAGCACCAGGGTGAGAATCTGATCCCAGAGGACCAGACGGGACTTCCCGAAGAGCTGCACGAGTTCAAAAGCCAGGATGAGATCCATCCAGAGCAGAGTGCACAGGAAAAGAGATGCCCTTTTGGGTATTCCTCGGAGGAGGAAGGCTTTCCTCTCACCATGCCGGCTAATCCCCCGTTCCACTGTGTCCTGGAGCGGGATTTGGTGGAGGAGAACAGCTGCAGCAGCGACACGTCTGAGTCCTCCAGCTTGTCCTCGGACTCTGAGGCAGGAGGCTTCCTCAGTGCGAGTCCTCCTGAGGTGGATGATGGTTTGACACGAGCACTTTGTGACTCCAGGAAAAATAACTACTTCTCATGCAGTCAGCCGAGGCACAAAAGAGAACCACTGATGCAGCACAGCTGCAGCTCTGACACTCACAAAGCTCCTACTGAGAGTACCGGACCACGTGCTGCTGTCACACACACAGACAACAGGGCGCCTGACAGCACCTGCCTGGACGAGAACGCTAATCAGTCCACTAACTTCTTTTATGGTGATTCTCTCGAGGACTTCCCCCACACCCAGTCCCCCACTCTTGACTTTTCCTTTGGCAGATACGTGGACCTGAGCCTGTCCTCTGACTCTGACCTGGAGTTCTTCCACAGAGACTATCCTTCTGGACCGCTGCACAGCTCGTTCAAAGAGCACAGGCACTCAGGCGGTTTGCAGCCCCTCCAGCTGTTTAGCTGTGAGAGTTTACCTCAACACGAGTCCAGCACCCAGCTCCTGGAGTCTCTGATCGGCCTGACTGAGTGATTGATTCACTACTTTCAAAGCTGATCAATAATATATATATATATATATATATATATATATATATATATATATATATATATACATATTTATTTATATATACACATATATATATACATATCATAGCAGAGCATGTGCTGGAAAGTACGTGTATATATATATATATATCACGTGAAAACACCCGAATATTTCAGACACTGAATTGTAAAAACAGATTTTGTATATTTGTAAAAATGTTTCAGTGTACAGAGAATGGTTGATAACCTTTTGTCTATTGAGTGAAAATAATGTGTTCTTTTTGAAAGAAGCTATACTTGAGTAATGCTAATGTGTCTTATTTTTTAATAATCTGTCCTATGATGTCTGATGTGTTTGATATTTTTTTACCATGACTAACATTTTTTGATTTCAGTAAACAAGTTTTTTTTTTATGTAATTTTATTAAACAAAAGGAAGGAAGCATCATGGTTTAAATGTGCTTGAAAGTGGCCAAACTGTGGAAATAATATCGGGCTGAACTATGTGTTTTCAGCACCAACAACTTACTGGAGTTCTAAAATAAACTTTTTTATTTATTTAATCTGAGTTTTCTTCCTTTTCTGTCATAAATATTGTTCTTGATCATTTGAAAAGTTAGTTTACAAACAGCTAACTCAATATCTGGAATCCAGCAGTATTATTACCCCCATGTAGTCCGGCTTCAGAACTGGCCATGGGTGTGTGTCTGCAACACTTAAAGTGCTAAATGACATCATATGTGCCACTGACAATAAGGAATATCGTGTGGCTGTGTTTGCTAAAGCCTTTGACTCTGTAGATCATAACATCTTACTTAGCAGGCTCAGCCGTATAGGACTTTCTCAGGCATCCGTGGCTTGGTTCAGAAGTTATATCTCAGGCCTTACACAAACAGTGAGAACAGAGGGTTACCAATCTGCTCCTCTACCTCTATCTTTGGGTGTTCCTCAAGGGTTGATACTGGGTCCAACCTTTTTCAAAACCCATATTAATAACATTGTTCATGCTGTTGACAGTTCTCATATACATTTATTATATGCGGACAACACCATTCTATATTCATGCAGTTCTTCTCTGGACACAGCTTTGTCCTCCTTGCAGCACAAGTTTAATCATCTTCAACACGCCTTCTCCAACCTTCATCTTCATTTAAACACAAGTTAAACAAAGTTCATGATCTTCAACCATAACTTACTGCAATCAACTTGCCACCCTAGTATTGTTTCCCTGGATGGTACAGAACAACAACTTGTCAGTTCTTAGAAGTATCTGGGTATCTGGCTTGACAGCACACTTTCATTTGACATTCACATGAATTCATTACTTTCTAAAGTCAAGTCAAGAACTGGGTGTCTTTACAGCAACAGGTCATCCTTTACTCATTCTGCAAAGCAAACCTTGGTCAAAATTACAATCCTTCCCATCTTAGATTACAGTGACATCGTTTATAGAACTGCATCCAAAAATCTTCTTCATAAACTTGATGTCATTTATCACTCAGCAATTTGCTTCTTCACTGGTGCCCCTTTCACTACTTATCATTGTGATCTGTACTCAACTGGCCATCAGTTCATGCCCACAGGTTTTTACATTGGTATTAATGTATATACAAAACAATCATCGGTAGAACTTTGTCATATTACTCATCACCTCCAAGAACCAGTGGTATTTATGTTCCAGTAACTTAATCTCTATGGTTATTCCCAAAGCTCACACCTCTTTTGGTCGCTCCTCGTTCCAGTTTGCTGCTTCCAACAACTGGAATGAGCTGCAAAAATCACTGAAGCTCACTGCATTCCATTATCTACCTTCAATAATTCATTGATACTTACACATGTTGAAATTACCGCTTTTACTTTTGAAACACGACATAATTGTGAACAATGTGTAAGCTATTTTGCGCGTTAGGTTGAGAGAGAGAGAGACCACAAACAATATTTTTATATTGTTCGTATGGTTCAACGAAACTAAGAAGTGTACGTAAACCTAATGTTTGTCTAAATGGCTGTCTTGGTGGATGTTTTAGTGTTTATTAGCTGTCTAACTCGGCTTAGAGAAGACGAGGCTGCCGTGGACGCGCCGCTTAGCTACAATGTTTTACCTCAGTGGAAGCGGAAGGTAAAATTGCCCTTGTTTTCCAGGCGGCTTACTTTGTTAAAAATATGTAAATAACTTAGATTGAAGTATATTAAAATAGCGGAAATTGCTGGCTTTGTTTTTACAGGAATACACGTGAAACCCAACAAGCATGCCTGACTTTTGTGCTGCCTATGGATGCTCTAATAGATGATGTCTTCAATCACAGCAACGTGGGATCACCTTTCATTCGTAAGATTTAACAATAACAAACTGTGTTAGGCTGATGTCTCTGTCATCTGCTTTGCTTTTAACTGCTTTTTAGAAATAAGAGTGATGGCAAAGTTGAAGATCTATCAGCTAACTGTGATTTTAAAAAGTTTAATTGCTTGAATTCAAGATTTCTTGGTTAATCAATCAATGCATGTTTCTGTCTTGACACCTTTTGTTTAACAATTGTTTGTCTTATGTTCATGTTAAAGGAAACGGCTGTAAACTATTTACAATGATTTATAAAGCTGCCTACATTTTGTCACTTGTTTGAGATTTCCCAAAGATGGAGATAGAAGGAGGCAGTGGGAAGTTGCCCTAAGAAGTGTCTGCCATTTTCCTCAGAGCTGACGCTCAGTGGCGTCACGATCAAAACTGTCAGCAAGGTAAAAAAACCTTCCCTGTGTTTCAAGAAGAACCTAAAAATGCGGCCAGAAGAAAAACACCAAAGATGTTTGTAGTCTTTTGAAAAACTGCTGGCTTATCAAATCCCCCTGATAAATAAATACAATGAATAAATTCCACACTTACTAATCATGATTACTTGTTTGCCTTTAGGGAGTCAAACTATAGTTCTTGTCTGATTTCTCACCTGACATCATATTGTTCTATAGGCCTATGTAAAGTGTAAAGGCAACCACACTGTCCAGTTACATTGATAATTGTGATTTCAGGATTTGTTGTACGGCGAGCCATGACCAAGCTGTCCTGTGATGTTTGCCGTGCCAGCCTGGTGATGGATGCTGCATCTGCCTGTGATGACCAGAGCTACCATTTGCTGACTCTGAAGAACAACGGGGGTCTTGTGGTCCCATCTGAAGGTACTGTGAGGGTCATCAGAGCAGCAGAGTGGGCAATTTGCCAGGCATCAGTGGGCAGACGATCACAGCCCATCAAACCACTGGAGGTCATCTACATCGTGCGCAAGAGGATCGGGTCAGAGGATGTCTTTTTGTTTGCGGAGCACATCAGTGAGACACAGTACGGAATTGAGTCTCACTCCCATACACTGTTGACATCTATTGTCTCCCTGTTCTTTAAGCTGAGGATGCACCACATTGCAAGATTAGCAACTCTTAGCTTTCAGTGTGACAGCGTGAGACAGAAGATCACAAAAGCTGTCCTTTTCAAAGGTCAGTAACACAATGTGCTTTAGCATCTGTCTTAGATCTGTTATTTTTAGGATCAAAGACATGTATAATCTGTAATAAACAAGTTTTTCATAACTGTCAGTCTGTCATTCATTCACTCTTTAATTTTGGTAAATGGTAAATGGCCTGTATTTGATATAGCACCTTCTAGTCCTAGAACCCCTCAAGGCGCTTTACAACACAATCAGTCATTCACCCATTCACACACACACACACACTGGTGGGGATGAGCTACGATGTAGCCACAGCTGCCCTGGGGCGCACTGACGGGGGCGGGGCTGTCGGGCACTGGCGCCACCGGTCCCTCTGACCACCACCAGCAGGCAACGTGGGTTAAGTGACTTGCCCAAGGACACAACGACGACGACAGACTGAGCGGGACTCGAATCTGCAACCGTCCGATTACGGGGCGAGCACTTAACTCCTGTGCCACCGTCATCCCATTTATTTATTCTTTTGTTTTACTATTTTCTGTAAATTAAATCAGGTATTTGAGTTTTTATTTATAAGTTGATATGGTAAGTCATAAGGTATCTTAAATATTATATTTATAAGTTGACCTAAGTTTACAAACAACAGCTAGTTCATCAGAAGCAGATCTTGACATTAAAATGGCAAGTCAATGGGAAATTGACCGGAAAGGGGGAAACGGCTGGAAAGTGGAGTGAAATAAGGGGAGTTTCCTGCCAAAATTGATATATTTCACAGCCACGTCTCTAATGTTTCTAAAAAATCAAACTGTATGAAAATCGGTTGAAAACTGAGAAAGTTAAGAGTTGTTTAAATAGTGCATGCACCACTAAACACCAGCTGTCCGAAGTAAGATGGCCGCCGCGTACTGACGTCAGGTTCCATTGACGAACAGCGCGGGCGAGGGATCTACTGTAATATTTGTATACGAGAAGCAGCTTGATCGATGGTAGCGACGCTCGATTGTTTTAGGCTGCTAATGGGATAGTCGTGAATTGTCAGCTGTAGTCTGTCGTTATTCAGATGTTTTAATATTAATACAGAACGTTAACTTCAAACAGAGATGGGTTTATCACAGAGTTCGGAGGCAGCTGAAGGAGGGACGTATGGATATCACGTTCACGGCGTAAGGCTTGACATATTTACTGTTTTGAATCGGGAACAGCTTAATCATGAAACGTTGCTAACGCGGAGCTAGCTGTAGCTGCAACAGAGCTTCTAAAGTGTGATGAGGTGGCACTATTTACCTGTAAACATACGTTGACTGGTGTCGGTCAAAAACATTTGTTTATACATATATTTCTAAACGCAAGCCTCTGCTCAACTAGAGGCTGGATTCGCTACCGCTGAATTATTTCATGATTAATTTAGCAGCGCTAACTCGAGTTAGACACTTTAGAGATTACGCCTGTTTCCTGGATTCTCAGTGGCCGTCAGACCGCTGTAAAATAGGACGTTTCCCTTCATTTTCTGTTCAGATCTGCTGACTTTTTTTGTTTTGTTTGTTTAGGTAAGAATAAATCCGAAGTTTAAACATTTTATCATGTGATTAACACAAGTCCCCTTGGATACAATACAGCTTTGGATCAAAGGGGTGTAGTTAACATGTTCTGCTTATATTTATGTACTTATCACCAGATAAATACCAGATCTAAAGTGTTGGTCTTGCTTTTGACAGGTGCAGCCTAATTCTCCTGCAGAAAAGGCAGGGCTGCAGCCCTTCTTTGACTTCATCTTGTCTCTAGGCAACAGCAGACTAGTAAGTTTTGCTGAAATTCCAGAAAATTGCACGTGAAGTTTGTGAAATGAGCACACACTTTATTATTTTGTGTCAGAATGAGGAAAACGAGCAGTTAAAGGAGGTCCTAAAAGCTAATGTGGAGAAGGCCATAAAGATGGAGGTGTACAGCACTAAAACCACAAGGGTCAGAGAGCTGGAAGTGGTGCCCAGTAACATGTGGGGGGGCCAGGGGCTGCTGGGTGCCAGCGTTCGCTTCTGCAGCTACCAAGGAGCCAGCGAGAATGTTTGGCATGTTCTGGTGAGATGCATCATTGAAGAATTACAAGTGCAAACCTCTCCTGTTCTGGTCTTGTCTCCCTTCAACACATATTTTATCTTTGTGTTCTTTCAATCGTGTTTCTCCCAGGATGTGGAAACCAGTTCACCAGCAGCACTGGCGGGTCTTCAGTCTTACAGCGACTACATCGTAGGCGCGGATCAGGTGTTGCAAGATGTAAGACTCATTTTAAATCAGCTCAACATGTTGCTCCTAACGGATGTGTTACAGCTGTAAAATAATCAACCTTTACAGTCCGAAGACTTCTTCTCACTGATTGAAGCCCACGAGGGGAAACCGCTGAAGCTGCTGGTGTACAGCACAGCAACAGACAGCTGCAGGGAGGTGATGGTCACACCCAACGGAGCGTGGGGAGGAGAGGGCAGGTATGAGACAGAACTCCTGAATGAAAGCAGAGTGTTGGATAAATGCAACATGCTTTTATATCAGATCGGCTTTAATCATCCCTAAAGGTTAGGAAAACTGCTGTGGTTATAAACTATAGCCAACGATGCAGCGTACCTGTGTTCTAGAATGTGTCTGTTCTTAATTAGTGGTACTCTTCTTCAAGAGTTTGATTTTGTTCATCCTCAGCTTGGGCTGTGGCATCGGTTACGGCTACCTGCACCGGATCCCTGTAAACCCCGAAGTACCGACGGTGGATCCTTCCACCCCCATTCCAGAAGAGGCGGTCTCTCCACAGGAACACACACATGGATACACGGAGGTAGATGTTACCAAAGGAATGTCTTCAGAGTCACAGGCTGTCATTTATTTATTTATTTTTTAAGTAAACACTTAATTGGGTAAAATTTCGAGTTTTAAACTAGCACACTTCCTCCCAGACACCTTTGATGGCACCTTCAATCCCCAATGAAGATTTGTCAGACCTGGATCAGGTCATCCTCCAAGATGGACCACTACCTCCACCCGTTCAGAGTGTCGTGGATCCCGGTTAGTTCAGACGCTGAGTAACTCTGGCTGTGATTGTCCCTCATGACTCGTGAAAATGCCACCCATCTATGCACGTCGCTGCTCTGTGCAGGCTCTCCCGATTCCGACTCGGCAGTGATGAACCCTGAGCCCGCAGATCTGATCGACAAGTTGGACCTGTCCTCCTCATCCATCGACATGACCCACACCGCTCTGGCTATGCACGAGGAGGAGGTCGAAGTGTCCGGTGTTGGTGAGTAAACGATGTTCAGCAACTATGCAGCTAAATAAAAATACTGCAAGACAATATTTACTTTATTTTGACGTTCTTTTGCAGAGGAGATGGAGGACAGCGTCCAGCTCTCGTCCAATCTTGAGGACCTCGCCGTTGCTTCACCCGACTCTTGGTCTGATTCAGGCGTTCCACCAGCTGAAACGTCTCACCTGACCTCGGAGTCCACAGACCAACAAAGCTCCCTCAACGAGTCCAGCTTCAGTGCAAGTCCACCGGTGGCTGCGTTATCCCTTTCTGAGGATTCTCTCCACCCTGCAGAGCTTTCCGTCCCCGCAGAGGAGCCTCCCTGTCCATCTCCAGTTGACCTCATCCCAGCCTCTTCTGCAGACAGCTGTCCTCCTCAGACCTCTGAAGAGTAAGCGTGCGAGTCTGCAGAGACTCCTCATCAGTGTGGCAACGAGCACGGCGAGGAGGAAGCAGGAGAAACGCACCTGGAGTAAGCTTTTATCTGTAAGGACATGCCGACAATCACTGTTCAAGTTTCTCTTTTGTATATAAAAGCACGTAGGACACGAGGCAGACCTCTTATTTAGTTTTTCTTCTGTGAAAATCCTGCGGCACTAATAACCGTTACACTACAAGTACAAACTGGACGTGAAGGAACATTTTTGGAGGCCAGATTTAAAGTTGCTGGGTTACATTTAAGCCAGATTAGATTCCACAGGTCAGGAAACGTAACTTCGGGGTACACTAAAGAGATCAATACTTGAATTGTTCCAAAGACAAACATTTACTACTGCAAAGCACAGCTGCACCTTCATATCTGTAACATTATCAACCTGACACCAGGGCAGCTAACAGTCTGTGTACTGATGCGTTGTTACATTTCAAAGCATCATTTAGTCATTTCCCAGATAGATTTTAGGAGTTTGTCTCATGCTAGACATCAAAGGGCTTTTGCTGTAGGAATATTTGTCTTTTAGTGAAATTAGTTTTTGTCCTTTCAGGATGTTTTATTATTAATTTTGGTAATTATGAGGTTTGTAGGCTAATCAGATTGTTTTACACCTGATAGCCGTTCGGCATCATATATGCAAAATACTTCTGTTCTACGCAGGAATGAGACGTGTAACCCCTTCTTTCCACCGGAGCCGTCAGCAGCACGTCTTGCTCGCGTAAGCTGCTGCTTGGCCCTTCCCACGAGACGCGAAGCAGCAGGGGAGCAGCTGTCACCGACCGAGCACGAAGTCACATGAGTGACTTCGTCAGTAAACACAACAACAAGCAGGAGAAAATTACAACATGGCTCCAAAAGGGTTGTGTTATGTTCTGTCCGTTGTATAATCGCCAATACGGACCTGATAAACAAAGGAGACTGCTAGCTAGGTGATAACTTCTCACGGGGCCGAAGTTAGTAACTTTTTTTTAAGTAAAGCAACCGGAAGGCAGTACGTTTCTTTATTCTGAAAATCTCAGGAAGGTTTGCTCCGTTTCCGCGTCCGATTTCCTGTCTTTCCTTCCCCAAAAATGTCGAACTTGACCCGTTTCAGAGGCGTCTCGCGTAGAAAATAGAACCGGCGCGTAAAGGCCGCGACATGCTGCTCCTGAGACGCGGCCGACTCGCGCTGCTGACGGCTCCGGTGGAAAAGGTTCTGTTGACCACAGCGGTTCCTATCAGCAGCTACGAAGTGCTGTTGCAGTAATGCGCTGCTGACGGCTCCGGTGGAAAGCCGGGGTAACCCCGGCTTTCCACCGGAGCCGTCAGCAGCGCATTACTGCAGCAGCACGTCTTGCTCGTGTAAGCTGCTGCTTGGCCCTTCCCACGAGACGCGAAGCAGCAGGGGAGCAGCTGTCACCGACAGACCACGAAGTCACACGAGTGACTTCGTCAGTAAACACAACAACAAGCAGGAGAAAACTACAACATTGTTTGTGTTTTATGTTCTGTCCGTTTTATAATCGCCAATACGGACCTGAAAAACAAAGGAGACCGCTAGCTAGGTGATAACTTCTCACGGGGCCGCACAGTTAGTAACTTTTCTTAAAAGTAAAGCGACCGGAAGGCAGTACGTTCTTTATTCTGAAAATCTCGGGAGCTTCTCTCCATTTCCGCGTCCGATTTCCTGTCTTTCCTTCCCCAAAAATGTCGAACTTGACCCGTTTCAGTGGCGTCACGCGTAGAAAATAGAACCGGCGCGTAAAGGCCGCGACATGCTGCTCCTGAGATGCAGCCGACTCGCGCTGCTGACGGCTCCAGTGGAAAAGGTTCTGTTGACCACAGCGGTTTCTATCAGCAGCTACGACGTGCTGCTGCAGTAACGTGCTGCTGACGGCTCCGGTGGAAAGCCGCGGACGGACTTTTCCTGCCGATCTCTTATCGGGTCTTCTCCCGTGTTTTATGGTCAGAAAAAGTGCTAGTGTGTAAAATAATGAAAAGTATTTTTGCAGATATTTTATTAATGTCTTGTATGTTTTGCTAGGAATAACTGCAAACTGTTTTGATGGAAATGGGCGAATCTTTTGATTGTTAAACAATCACTTAAAAAAAAAGTGTCCCTTGTTTTTATTTCACGCTTGTCATCCGGACACATTACAACATCCATTATAATCCCTACAGATGTCACTCTGAAGACCATTCCAGCTCCTTAAATGTCTAAAATATACATATTTGACAAATTATTAAAACAAGGAATAGTGCAGCAGTATGGCCTAATTGTTTTACACACCCCATCGTTTTGGCCAGCTCACTCTAGGCGTTCTCATTATGGCGTCTCTCTCACACACATACAAACATACGTGTGTCATGGCAAAATTTACTCCAGAAAATTTAAAGAGAAAACATTTGCATCAGTGAGAAAGACGTCTGTTATCGATGATTTCACTTTGGTGAGCTCCCCACAGTGGCTGGATGCTCAAGAGTCTCCGTCTCATCATATTTAACTCTTAATAAATCTAAATGACACGTACACAAGGAACAACCCTCGCAGTCACCGTGAGCCACACAGCACGAAAGCACGAGTTGTCCTTCACCGTCGATCCCTCACACGGGACTTGCTGACGCTAACTCCACTTGGATGGATGGTATTTTCCAGGGCGAGCTGCAATTTCTAGCAAGTTCAACAAATGCAGTTCTCATCAACCAAGTCAAGCTGCCTTCACGACCATGAAATGTGCTCTTTAAATTTAGAAAAAGAACAGTTGGTTTTTTATGGAAACTGTACAACAACAAAAAAAAATCAAATAAAAAATACATTTGAACCAAAAATGTTGAAGATATATTTACAAAAAAGGACATTCACTCCATGAAGAACGGAAGAGCTAAAACAAAAAGAGACACGTGTCTGTCAGCGAGGTTCTGTGATGACTAGGAGTCTGGACCGAGGGGAAGTCTGCAACGGCGCGGGAGTTTGGGGGGGTGCTACCCAGAGACCAGGTGTACTCCTACAGAGGTGATTCTGCTGAGGTCAGTGCAAAAGGACCGTTTCTGGAATGTACTAGGTCAGTCTACTGCATCCATGTGCATAAACACTCAGACACAGACCAAACTTTCAGTCGCCAATCGAGCAACGATCTAAAAAAAACAAAAGGTGGCTGAAAACTGGAAACCATTTGTTCCTCAAACTGGTGCCGAACCAACATGGACCACCTTCTTCCCAGGAGTGGGTTGGCTGTGCCAAAGTGCTCAGGTCACTTCCCTATGATACATCATGAATCATGTCCTCACAAGTTTACTGGTTTTCATCGACTCTGGACCACACAATGGGGTTTAGGGAACTACATGTCGGAGGTGGGTGGCGATTGGCAAATGACAAAGTTCTGGATGTAAAAATGACGACTTTCATGTGGACTTCTGCCTATAGTGAAGTGTCAAGTCCCCTCCACTCTTCCAGATAAAATGTTTAACTGTCCGCAGGTCCATGTTGGGGTCTAGAACCTGGCAGAAAGAAACAAAACCCAAACGTTACTAAAGTGAGCCATGATCTTTGATGGTTTCATCTGACTGGTGATCAAGAAAAGGGTCAGCGTGCCTGGTCTTGACACATTAGCTCAATCTTCTCCTCAGCTAGCATGGCCATGTCCTCCTCCTTCTCCTGTTCTCCGGGTTTATCGTTGGCCGAGGAGCTGGTGGTCTGCGACTCGTTGTCCAGGTTAATGATCTTCTCGTAGACGTGCTCCATCACCTTCCTAACCTGCAGCATGTCACTGGCCGAGAGGCGGTCCCTGCAGAACAGAAAGGAGAGAAAAAATGAAACAAAACCTCACAGGTGAGCTGAAACTTGCCGGACTTGGTGACTACAGGTAATTTGGTTCTCAGCTGCAGAGACGCAGAACGTCCCAGACTTACTTTTTTAGCGTTTTTGCACCAGAGGAAGAATGGGGCTGGAGGTAGAATGGAATTTTGTTGAACTTGGGCATATTTTTCTGGAACAAAAAACAAATGTGGGAAAATCACAAGCATCGAATCATGTCAAAAGCTCTGTTGTTCACTAATTTTCCATTTTTAAAGGTGTCCAACATGAAGCATTCAGTCCATCTAGAACACTGACCCATTTTTGTGTGTGCTAAAACTGATGGACTGTGGTGGCCATCTTGAATCAGATCTAATTTAAAAGCAAAGTTTTACAAAATTTTTAATTGATATCCAACGTTCACTTTCCGAGGGTGTCCTTATAATCCACCCAGCGGTTCATGGGAAGTGTGGCGGACCAACAATCACATGCACTCATGGGCAAAAACACCACTGTCACCTTTCAGCGTTGGAGAATAAACATGGTTTTGGATAACTGAATGATATTTTACCTACATTTGAACTTTTTCTAAGGATCTATAAAAGATGGCATGTTGGACACAGAGACAAGGAAGACAAAACAATCCGACTGGGCTGAGAGGTGAGAGAAGAAAGATTTGACGCCGAGTATCAAACAAAGCAGCAGTGGTACTCACATCTACAGTTATATCAATGACCCACTGTGGGACCGTCTCATTCAGCAGCATCGACTCAGTCTCTCCACCTGAATCTCTACATAGCAGCCTGCAGCAGAAGCAACAGAGACTCGGTCAACCTTTATCCAGAAGCTATTACCTTCCTTGCATCTAGAGGCTGGGCGACAGGACCACGTTAATTCATGAATGTTAGCAACAGCAAGCTAAACCTTTGTTTATTTGTGACCTGTTGATTACCGTAAATGTTATAATAGCATACTTTTCTGTTATAAACAAAGCTATTGGTTAAATGTGAATAATTCTAATGATGTTGATGCATCAACTTCTCTTGTTAATGTAGGAGGGATCGCTGCTGAATAGCATCTGTTCAGTGATGTTATCCGATCTAAATGTTGTGTTCTTTGTTTCTTTGGGTATGAGTCTACAGAGTGAGTTAGTGTGCTTGCTTTTCTCTTCAGTGACTTAAAAGGGTTCTAGAACTACTTACTGCAATTGGAAACTGTTCTTTGAGCCTCTATACAGCAAAAATAAGCATTTGAGACTCCAGCCCTGACAAATGTCCAAACATAACCCCACCCCACCCACTAGACCAGGACATAAATGTTAAAGAGGTCCTTCACTCACATATTTAATACATTTGCAGCGGTCTATAGTAGGGATGAATGCCTTGTAAGTGAGGGGAAAAACGGCTCCGGTGCTTCTGTTTCAGCACGGAGAGTTCAGCTGAAGGAGGAAGGATTTGGAGTCTTTTTTCCTGATATTTGGACATCTCAGGACAGCTCAGTGGTATGAGTGCCTGCTCTGAGACTGAGAGATTGTTGGTTCAAATCCACGGTCAATCATATCAAAGACTTTCAAAAAAAAAAAAAAAAAAAAAAGGGACCCAATGCCTCCCACCTGACACTCAGCATTAACTCATTCCCTGCCAATAATGACTAAAGTCTTCATTTGCATTTTTTACTGTGTGGGCGTCGGAACGAGCCCCCGCAACGGGAGAACAAACATCTCAGCTCTAAAGCCGATCTTCATCCACATACGTCACGTGATCAGGAAACAGAAAATCCACGTGTTAGGAGATGGTTTTGGGCAGCTGCTGTAAAAACAAGTGAGGCGCGAACCGGAAAAGCTTCTGCCGATCACAATTCGACAACGGATTATGAAAGAACGGATAACGCTCGAAACACGCCGATTCTTCCTGATGTAAGAGGTGAGTCTCCGCTTTGTTTTGGTTATCCAGAGTTATCTCTGTAGTTATGCTGCTATAGGCTTAGACTGCTGGAGGACACACTGACCACTTTTCACACTCGACTACTTTCTTCTACAATCTGCTCTTAAACTGTATTATTTCCTGCTATTTCAGCTGTTAACTTTATTTTCTCTCCAAGTGTTTTTCTCCCCAGAAGAAGCTACAACGATGTTCTGCTGAGCTGTGGTGGCCTCATGGAGGGGGCCATCGTCTAGCACACTGCTGCTAACCACTTACACATTCTCCCTCTCCTGATAACTTTTTACTTTCTTTGACATTGAATGTGCTACTACTAGTTTACCCGTTTAATTATAGATTCACTAGGATAAATACAATAAAGTTTATCTCTCACCAAATAGAATATTTACTAAGAAATCACAATATAACTATAGAAACATTGCTTGGTGTGTGTGTGTGCGTGCCTGCTCTGTCTTCTCGATCCCCAGTGAGTCGTGGAGGATGGCTGCTTATACTAAGCCAGGATTCTCTGGAGGTGTCTTCCTGTTAAAAGGGAGTTTTCCTCTCCACTGTCGCTACATGCTTGCTTAGTATGAGGATTGCTGTATAGTCACTGACACTAGTCAGTGACTCGATGCAATTTGCTGGGTTCCTTATATAGGAAACTTTTTAATGATTGGCTTAATGAACTGACCTGTATTGGAATGTTTATTATGTGAAGTGCCTTGAGACGACTCTTGTCGTGATTTGGCGCTATATAAATAAAATGGAATTGAATTGTTTTGGCGTCGACATCATCCTAGCGCGCAACGTTCTTAAAAAAACTTAACGTTGACTTAAAAAAACTGTAAAAATGGTGAGAAACGCTGGCAGCGAAGGGCTTTACCGATCAGGAAACGTCTGGCAGTGAATGAGTTAAGGGGTTGGATTGAGGGGGTTAAACCACCAAATGGTTCCAGAGCGCGGCGGTGTCTACATCACACCACTCACGCAGGGGACGGGCCAATTGCAGAGATCAAATGTCACACACACAAGTGTGTGACAACTAGCAGGACTTTAACTTTAATGTCACCTCTGATTGGCTAATAACACAACTGTACCACTGACCGTTTGCTCTACAATGTTCATGTTTTATCTCCACAAATAACACGCGTCGGAAGAAGTTCTGCTGTGTGGTGGAGTTGCTAATGCCAACGGTTAGCTACTACCAGCTGAGTTGTTCTCTTCGGTTTCCTAGACGCTAAACCAACAGCAGCCTTTCCTGTTGTGAGTCAAGATGAGTGAGGTTAAAGTTCAGTGTCCATGTGATGAAATCTGTCAGGATTTTCTAATCTCAGTTTCACCGTCTATTTTCTATCAGAAGCTAAAGCAGGAGATAGGTGTAGGAGACCATTTTCATGTTCAGCCTGAGTGAAAATATCTCAGAGTCGCTGCTTGTTTTCAAAAATAATAAGTAAAAAAAAAAATGTTTTTCAGTGAAGCACCTGTTTAAACGAGCTGTGTGCTGATTGGCCAGACTACCCAAATAGCTCTATGGCTGCTTGAAGATCCAATCTCTGTTCTCAGCGGTGTTCAGTTTCCAAATCCATCTGGCATTCATTCAAACTCTGGATATTCCCAGTACATCCTGGAACGTTACACGTCAGCTCCGACATTCTTCTTGTTTTTCTCGTGTCCAACAAAGATGTTAGCAGTAGCTGAGGCTAGCATTGTCCTTCAGTTACACCAGCATTTATTGGCTCTTTTGGTCGGGTACATTAGACACCCTAAAGGTTGGTTTATGCTTGACGCGTCCGCGCGGTCCGCACGGCTCCGCGCGGAAAAGTTGCGTCATTTTAACAACCACGCCCCTCCACACGGCCCAGAATTTCCGCAACGCGCACCTAGGAAAATTTCTAACCACGCGGACGGACAGACGCAGAAAAACATGGCAGACCGGCAAGAACTAGTATGGCAGAGGTTCGTAAATACAGACATTTGTATGATTCAGCTCTCAGAGATCACCGTGATCAACACGTTGTTAATAATTCTTGGAGAGAAATAGCTCGCACTGTCGGAAAAGACGAGAACGCTGTTAAAAATGCTGGAATGCCGTGTTGTAAACAGTAATTTCTACTTCTACTATGGTGTAGTGTTGGGTGCATGCCGTAGAGCTCCATGCTGCCCCCTACAGTTTGGCAGAATATTGGCTCACCGCAGAGACGAGCCGCATGAACCATAAACGCTGCGAGTTGTGAAGCGTGTTCCATCCGCGAGGCGCATCACCGCGCGGAAAGTGAATGTGTCAAGCATAAACCAAGCTTAAGCTGCCTGGATTCAACAAGAAGGTAAACGTGGAACCCTTTGAAAACCCTTTTTAACACTCTAAATGTTACGATGTACTCTTTGTGCCATGTCACACCACCCTGTGGTCAACAGGTTTAAGGTATGCTAATGACACCATACCTAAATAGAGTTCTCCCTCCTGCTTCTCCAAAGATGACTGGTGTGTGAGGAGGAACCTGGAAATATCCGTTTCCTTTCTGCACCCGGTTCTCCTGCTCTCCGTTCACTGTGGCACAAAAACACAAAGCTGTGAGAGACAAAGCTCTTCAGACAACACACCTTTAAAGCCATGCGGCTGTGCACAACAGGATTATATTTAGTAAAGGCAAGTAGTCAGAGGTTACGGGCTCCTTACCGTGGTTCACCTCATTCTCCTCCTCATCCATTGGGTTGATACGAGTTCTGGGCCAGAACTCCAGCAGAGCTTGGAGCAGCAATCCACCGAGGTTCACTGAAAAAAGGAAAGATCAGGAACGCGCATTGATGTTTCCAACATCTCATTAAGGAAAGGAGCTATTGGCCGTTGTCCTAAAAGTTATTTTACATCACATAACTTATGTGCATGAAACTTTAAAGAACGTGGTAGGAGAGAGAAAAGGCACCAAGGCTGATGAAAATGAGATCAAATGACATCCTAAGCTTGTTAATCCTTGAATTTTACAAATGTCACAATTCCAAAACATCTCCTTAATCTGGGAATTGGACTGGCAAACGTGACCAAAAAAGGGACATTTTGTAGAATGTCTGGTTTGCCTTTTGTGCTCATGGCCCACAAGGAGCCCACAAGAGGCAATAAGATATGAATACATCAGGTGGGATCAGTTCTGCTCTGACTGCTGATGCAGCGACAGGACTGGGCTGCCTGTGAGTGATTTGGGATGGGGACCTGGAGCAGCTCCCATAGCTTATTTAGAGGGATGCATGTTTTATCATCGTTCTCTTAAGGTCCCCAATAAGACCAGAAAACGTCTCCAGATTTGTCACTAAACTGCAGATGTTCTTTGTTGACTCACAAACCATTCAGAGCTGTCAACAGGGCCCTACTGTATAACATGTTATGAAAGCTCAGAGTAAATGAAACTTGATAGCCTACACTTTGGGTCGGATCCATCAGAACTTGAAAACCCTGCATCTTTTGCTGACACCCAGGCGGCAAAGCAGTCACTCTCATCCAAGGTGATGGTCAGCATCTAATGGAAACAGTATGAAAGACAAGAACCAGGCTAAAGGCTTTCATATCCAACCAAAAGGAAAAGTTCACGAATCAGCAGATTAGCAACTCACCCCAGTTTTCAGGTCAACCGAGAACCAGTTTGGCACGTAGACCATCTTGAAGCGCTTTTTAATTTCTTCATCAAACTCCACTTTGCCCAAATCTTCACCTTTACAAGCCTAAAATAAAACAAAGTTAATGCAAACTGCATAAATGAACAAAAGTGATGTACCCAGCTAAAACCTACTCAGGGTATCTGCAGGTTTAAGGGAGCCAAATTTAAGACTTTTTAAGACCTTTTTTAAGGCCACTTTGACCAAATTTAAGCTTTTTTTTTCCCAATTAAATTTAAGCTATAATTTCCAGCTATTGCCTGGAACCGGTGCTAACCACGTCGCAAACGTGAGATTAGCCATCCAGTTACCATTAAACTTCCACTTCCCCATGGCGCAAGCTTCCACTAGCTTAACCAGCTAATGTGCTCATCTAAAAATAGCCCCTTTTCACAACCAACTGAATGTGTACGGTTCCGCTTACGCAAACATCATACACAAAAAAATGCTGAACACAAACTAGAAATTCACAAAATTTTTATAGAAATAAAAGAATCTTGTTTATTGGTTGTTTGGTCATTCAAGACCTTTGGAAACTGTATTTAAGGATTATTTGTCATTTTAAGGGCTGCACGATATTAGGAAAACCTGCGATATTCGATAACAGTGCTTAATATTGCGATATCGATATTACTCGCGATAAATGAACAAATACTAAAGTATGCAGTGTTGATGTCGTCCGGCGTGTGACGTCTGCTCTGGGTTCAAAGCAAACAAAAACTAATGCATGAATTTCATTACAACATAACATTTTTATTGCAAAAATATGCAGCTGCACCTGCTACTGTATTAGCAGCAAAACAACAAACTGCATGCATGCAGTTTCTCAGTGACTTTAAAACATCACCTCCACCATAAAACTTTTTCTGATGCTCCAAATACAGAAAAACATCCCTTACCAGGTTTTTTTTGAATAAATAAAAAATATCAGAAAATAAGTTTAAATGTTAAATAATAGTTAACATCACTTAAATGCAACAGCAAATTCTCTCATTGCTACTGAGCATTTTCTCCACTTATGTGGTTATGATATAAGGCTGTTGCTGTAATTGGGAAGTGAACTGTGCTGGGCCAAACTAGGAGAAAGTTAAGATTTTCTGAGGGAAAGAGAAAAACAATTGTCTACCTTTCAGAAGAGGAACTGGCAAAAAACTACATGGAAAATATGTGAAAACGTTTGTTTTTAAACCCAAACTGAACAAGTTTACCTAGATCTTAAAAAGCAGCTCAGATGATGAAACTGCAACTATGATTCTGATAACAAGCTAACAAATTGAACTAGCTCCTCTTAAGATAACTGGCTAGCAGAGCTTCTGACTGACAGTTTATGTGCAGCAGCAAATCAACTATCCTGATTAACAAGGTTATAAAAGCTCATAAATGAAAAATCACTTTGATGTGTGGGGGAACTTTTCCAGGCCCTCTTTAGCAGGGTGGGACTGGGAGGAGAGTGCTGTAGCCTTTTAGCTGGAAGCTAACCGGAGCCTGAGGCTAACACTAGCGACATGAAGGTGGGTTGGTTCACCGGCACGTGTCGGAGTCAGCCCGGTAAAAATGATTAACGACAACGAGCGGACTCACGTTCACGTTTCAAAGCAGCGCTGATTCCAGAAACCTCAGCACAAAGTGCGTTCGTTGCTCTGAGCCAGCATGACGAACAAGGGAACGGCGCCGCAAACTCAGTTCGGGTGTTGCTTTCCAAAAGGGTCTATGTAGGGGGCGGGCGTATTACGTGACCGGAACCATCCGATTGGCCGCATATCAGAAGGGCTACATTTGATTGGTCAAATAATGCTTCATCGTAAAAAACAGAGCTGGTTTACTAAAAGCTGATGTATGACATGGATGGAAATGTTTGAACCAAACATTTATCGCTGTTTTTGCCGTGTTTTGCGATGGGCCTATCGCACGTCCTGTTATCGCGATGACGATAATTTTTCGATATATTGTGCAGCCCTAGTCATTTTTAAGGATTTTTAAGGCCTTAAATTTGGAAAAGCTAATTTAAGACTTTTTAAGGACCCGCGGATATCCTGCTACTGAGTACCACAAATATAGAGAAGAGTTCCGAGCCTGGAACGTTGACCAATAGAATTGTTTCATAAGAGGAAGCTGTCAACAAAAACGCGCCACAGTTCCCAGCATGCACTGCGGGGCGACAAACCTCAGTCAGCTTAGCACACCAACCTAGCTTGAATGCTAACTCAACCTGCACTGAATTAATGTCAGTCGGTAAACTTCAAGTTAACTGTAGAAGTGGAGGGAAGAGATGAAAGGTGTATTGGAGCTAAGAGATTAGCATACTGTAGCGTTAGCAGGGGTGTGCTAGCATCACGAGTGCCAGATTCCTGCAGGTTTTAAACATTTCTCTGCTTGAAAACTGCAGATTAGATTAAAATGAGTGATTAGCAGCAGCTCTTGCAGAACCTGATGAAGGCTGAGGAGATAATCCAGCAGGTAGAATCAGGTGTCTAAGCAGGAGCATATCAACTGACTAGTCAGTTAGCATTAAAAAGCTATGCGTTTGTGCACGTGTGTGCACATACGGGGGGGAAACGTAGTACAACACTACTAAATGAACCCTCGTTCATTGGATTGTTCTAATATTACTGTTAAATCACTTCACTCACTAATCGTCTGTCTCAGTTGGAGCTTATTTGTCTGCGTGATGATTTCAGAGATAATGAAACACGTTGGAGGTGTCGCAACTTTCAATCTGCCAGCTCTGCAGATGGACGAGCCATAGTTCTGAATTTCTCCTTTAGCGGCTTTGGGAATCTTAAACATTCCCACACAGGAGACTTCAAGCACTTCTGAGGTGGAAACAGAGCAGTGGTTGTTGTCGCTGGTGCTGTTTCTGCTGCGTGCATCCATTTTAGTTTGGCCTTTTTTCTTTGTTCGTGCGAGTCGCGCTTATGTCCTTTTTTTTTTAAGTCAGCTGTGTTGGAGAAGTCTTAACGGTGGACTAACCGCAATGTTTCACACAACCAGTCAAACCGGTTAATCCTTGCAACCCTAATTATAATACAGTTCTTTATCATATCCAAAAGGCTGGATTACCTTTAGCACGTCCCAAAATGCCACGTTGTTGTTAGTGTCTTTGGTGAGGATGTGCCTCTTGTCATTCAGAATGTGGCACTGTATAATGCTGGCCCCTCCTGCAAAAACAATGTTAACAAACTTCATGAAAAAAACCCTGAAAATATCACTTAGAAAACAAAGTTTTTCCCAAACGTGAAGTTACCCTTGATGACTTGTTCTGGTTGAGTACACAGTGGAGTCAGAGGGGTGGTGCAGTCGTTGTCGTACTCTCCTGATGATCTGAAGTTGTGCATTCCTTTTAGAGACTACACACACACACACACACACACAAAAGCTCGGTTAATTATGTCATTATGGTTGTACCATCCATCCAAATAAAACAGCTGGTTTAATGTTTCACATTAATGAGACTGGCTGTGAAAAGTTTCCATCCAGACTTAAATGCTGGCAGACCTGAGGTGTCACGCATGCTCACCCATTTATTGACAGATGACTTGGTGGTGGAAACCCAGATCGCTGGAGGTGGGTCAGTGGTTCTGTCCAGTTCCATCTGAGTAAAAAATAATAATAAAAAAAGTAAAAAAGGTTGAATGATTTGAACAAATAGGTGCAGGACCAGGACTCTTTTAATGACTCAGTTACTATACAGCAATCAAAGCACATTCATGTTCTTACTTTGAGCACCGGAGCCTTCTCCTCACAGATGAGCACTCTGATGTCTGGGTTACGCAGGTCAGTGCAGTAAATCTTTTTGTCTCTGCCTCCAGAATAAACATGTGTAAAAGCTTCATTGACCTGCAGGGCCCACACCCCCTCGTCGTGCACACGGTAGGTGGCAATACACCTCTGCTGGCCAAGTGACCACAAGCGGATGGTCCCGTCCGAGCTACCAGATAGGCACTGCAGGAGAGGAAACGCCAAACTGGGATTGGAAACCATCTCTGTTTATCAAGTGTTGTGTTTTTGACGTTTTCCCTGCAGGTTACCTGAGTGCCATCTCGATTCAGCAGCAACGACTTGACGTTGTCTGAGTGACCTTTTAGCTTCATTAGTTTTGCACAAGTTCGAGGATCCCACACTCTCAAAACCTGTAGGAAGAAATATGTATTTAGCAAATGCTTTTATCCAAAAATGACAATGTAATAATAATGATTGTTAATGGCAAACATTTCTTTCCTCTGTCTATTGTAGATAAACAAAAGTCAATAAACCTTCTATAAACAACTTTATACTTCCACAATTCAAGTGACTTTAATGTGCATCTTTTATTTGAGCCAAACTGAGTTTCTGATTAAACAAATCAATGTGTCAAATAAGACAAGCTAAACAGTCAGAAGTCTAATGAAAACAAACCTTTTCAGTGGATCCAGAAACAATAACTGTACCCATCTGGTTCATAGCTAGGCTGTAGATCGAGTCCTTGTTCCCACTCAGCGACGACGCTGTAAAGAGACAAATTGTTGGGAGACCAAAGGTGGGCCACAAACAAACAGCCAGACAATATCTGAAACGCTGTAAAATCAACGGCTCAGAGCCAAGAGTTCATAGATGAGCCCGTCAGCCACAGCTCAAAGCTTTTACTCACTGGTGACAGTGTTGTTGGAAGCTGTGAGCGCTGTTAGTGTGTTTACATCCCAAAGAAAGATCTGCCGGTCCAGACCAGCTGACGCCACCAGCTCCTTGTCCTTAGCGTACGCCAAAGCTTTTACATAATCCTTGTGTGTCCGTAATGTTGACATGCAAAACCCTTTATGTGCATTCCACACTTTGACCGTTGTATCAGATGAAGCTGATATCACTAAAAGGAGAGAAGTGTTGGTCAGAGGAAGTGAAACAGCTGATCATATCTAAATACAAAACAAGTCTGTTGCAGCAGGTAAAACTCACATGTTTTTCCATTGCAACAGAGAACTATATCATTCACCCAATCTGTGTGATGCTCCATGGAGGCAATGTAAGGATCCTGCTATGATGAAGGAAAGAAAGCATTAATGATGCATGCAGCCAGCGGTCTACCAGTCAGATGTGATGGTATTGTAGTAAAGCTGACAGGAGCGTTAACTACTTTGTGCTGGTAGACGCTCCATATCCGGATGATGGAGTCTCTCCCGGCGGTGAAGAGCCGGTTCAGAGCAGGGTCTAGCTGGAGGGCGTTCACCCCATTTCGATTATACTTCTCCACTTCGTCTCTAATAACGTACGATACCTGTAACACAGGTAAGTGGGCGGGGTCAGACTCCTTTCTGAACAACTTTAGTTTGAAACCACAGCAGTACAACTGTAAAGCTGCAAACAGAATTATAACTTACAATTTATTGAGAAACAAACAATAAAAAAATGCGAATCGGAGTTTGGTTGAGTTGAAAATAAAACTCAGAGCGGTTCAGCTTTAGGAACGGGTGTATTTAAGATTAAACACACACCTTTGTCGTGGTAAATAGGAAAGCCACATACCAGCTATTAGACGGAGCCTGGATTCAATGTAGCGTAGCTACCGCCAAAACCGCAACAGCATTAAATTCATGTCCAAATGGCACTTATGTCATTTGTGCTGATTAGCCATTTAATGATTTACTTAAAAAGTACGTTTGCGACAACTTTTCACAAAAGCACGTTGTCATTTAGACGCACTCGTTAGCACAAGACGCTAACGCCCTGCGTTAGCTAAGCTAGCTAGGTTAGCCGGCTTGAGCCATGAGTCATACCCGAATTGCTAACCTTAACAGGCGCGTTTTGTAGCCACTCTAGTATCTATGATGAATTTCTTTAAGACGGAGACCATAAAATTATCATTGTCACACACGGAGCAGCTCTGCAGCTCGCGTAATTTACCTGCACTTTCCTCCGCCCAGCAGCATTTTGTCTGTGATGCGTAGCCATCTTGCATGTTGACAGTCAATTCATGTGATGCTACATCCGGAAAAAAGAAAACATGTGCACGTGGGGGTTCTGGGTAATGGAGTTTGTCCCTTTCATCCAACCCAGTCACGTTTTTCCAGCATGAATGACCGGAACATTTTAAGGTCAAAGGTCAGAAATGATCCTTTAGGATTCTCTGCAGGAGAGCAGAATTCATAGCTAGGGTTACAACAGGTAATCCTGATGCAGCAGAGCAGCCCCAGACCATCACACTACCACCACTATGTCTGGCAGTTAATGTTAGTCTGAAAAGCAGCGTTAGTTTTACACCAGGTGTAAAGATTCAACAAGGAGGGGATTACATTTTCACATAAAGTCAAGTTGGTCTGAGCAGCTTTTTTAAAATTCGTTTTTTATTTTTTTTCACTCAATAAATTAAAAATTTCACTTGAAAACTGCATTTTCTATTTATTTGGGTTATCTTTGATTTGGAATCTGTTTGCCAATCTGAAACATTTGAATATGAAAAAAAGGGGGTAAATACTTTTTTTGTATAAGTACTAAGAAAATTGACCTAACTGTATAAAACAGATAGACAAAGGTTAAAATGTCAATATTATGCCAAACTAATAATATTTGTTTCCCTGCTCAGTTCATGTAATTTTTTTAGTCTTCACCCCACCCCAATAAAATGTATTTAGATTGAAATCCCAACTGTAGAATTTTTAAAATTTAGCTTTTCATTTATAATAATAATAATAAAAAAGATCTTGTGCCCTTTTCCCCTTCGTATTGTTCTTTTGATTCTGCATATTCACTTCATATCATCAATGTTAATTCAAATCTGTGATCCAATTCAAACAGTTTCCAGTAAAGATTTAAACCTGCAGCATTCTCTGGCATCACTGTTAGGGTTGCTGTTGGCCACTAGAGGGCGGTCTACACACTAGATACCCAGCAGTAAGTGTGCATAATAATCCAAAGCCTAAACCCTAAATACACAGACTCACACGCACTTTACCCCTCGGTGTTCTCAAAAGACAGAGATTATCCTTCGGACTGATTTGGGGAAACAAACTGACTTCATAGCTTCGTTTGAGTGTTCATCGTTAGACTCTTGCCAGCACAGTGCTTCGCTGATTACGCATGAAGAATTTGCATCGGAAAACAGATAAAATTTTGTGCTTAAAATAGCCAACAAACAAAGAAGGCTCATA